GGGGGGGAAAAGTACATTTATAAGCATTCATTATTTTTACATTCCAACTGCAGCAGCCAATATCTTGGGGGGGCTTATTTCTAGGCAGGCTTAGCACCACTTTACATGTTATTTATCCTTCTCAGTAATTCTTGGAATAAGGTACATTATTGCCTTCATTTGGCGAATGAGGAAACTCAGGTACTGGGAGGTTAAATAACCTGTCTGAGGACTATGCTGAAACTGAAACATGAACCCAGAGATCTGTCTTAGACCTGCATTCTTATCTCAAAAGTGTCCTGCTCAAAACACTATAGCTTCATATAATTAAAAAAACACTGAGAATGAATAAAAGGTTTGGTCTTTCTTATCAAAGATCTCACAAGTCCTACCTGAGAACTCAAACATTTGAAAATAATTTGTGGGGGCCAGCAGGTGGCATGGCGGTTGAGGCACTGGACTCCCACATGGCAGGCCACGGTTTGAGTGACAGACCTAGCAGCTTGTTTTCTCACTTTCTCCCTTTCTCTGGTGAGTGTATGTGTCCTGTAACAAATTTAAACATAATAATAAATAAAATTTAAAAAATCCTTTAAAGGAAATAAAAATAATTTGTGATTTAAAGAAACTGAAGTCTCATTCTGAAAAAAATATTTGAAGTAGTGAAAATCTCAGTAAAATTCATGTATTACAAATATGCAAAGTCAAAATAGTCCTTTGAGGCTTAAGTATTACTGGTAGAAGAAATTTTTTACAGTACAGAAGACATAATACATGACTTGTAAAAATTTCTGCGGATGCTTCTATGTTAAAAAAAAACTATAAAGGTAAAAAAACAGTTTTCAATATTTCAAAAATAAGACACTGAACAATATTTAAACTGTTGAAAAAGACTAAGTTGGGATCAGGCAATAGTAGACATTACTACACATACCCTTTGACAATAACATTCTGACACAGATACATCTAGAGGCTATAATGTAATGGACTAAATTGATACTAAAGAAAAACCAAAATTGGGCCAGCCCCAGCCCAGCGGTTAAGGGTGCCAGATCCCATATGGCCAACCACATGCTTAAAATCCTGGTTCCTTGAGAAACATGCTGGGTATGTGTGGGTGTGTGCCCCAAATCTCAAGAATGGAGAAGTGGAGGAGAAAGGGTTATGGTGAGAGCATACCCCATGGGGTTGCTTTGTCCCTCTCTTTCTCTGTCTCCATGACAAGCACACAGGCCCTCTGACAAAATTTGAAAAGCCAACCGATTAAACAAAATAAACACTCTTTACAATATGATATTACTTTTTATTTTTATGGAGATTTTACCAATATCATATTCTAATGCAAATGCCTGAATATTCATATACTGGAAAATACATACTTGTTTCTTCAAACATTCTCTGTTTAAGTGTTTGAGGCTTTGGTGTAAATGGTATTCTCTCTTCATGGTCATCAGGCTCACTTTTGGCATCTTCATCACTGTTTCTCTCTATACCAGAGACAGCAGAGGTATGTTTTCCATCCAAAGCAATATAATCATCTTGGGCTCTAGCCATTTCACGTTTTCTGCGGGCGGCCTGAATAAAGGCCTCATCAGGAATGTTAACTGAAAGAAACAAAAAAGAGAACACTGATAAACAAACACCAACAGAAACAAATATTCCTCACATTTAAAAAAAAGGGAAAAAGGCACTGATTCCCTAAATTTTTCACTGTTTTGGTACATAAATGTGACTTTAATAAATGGCTCAAAATTTACAGCAGTAGTGGAAGAAAATTTAGTAGAGACTAAATATAGAGACATGAATCAACTCTAGAAGTATCAGAAATCACAGAAGTATGAAATCACTCCATTTTATCTTTTAACTCTCTTACTTTTCTTAGTAGCTGCTGAGATTTTTACGGAGGGCGATATTTCTCACTGCAGAAGCGCTGAGACTGTTAGGGTACAGATGTGGAGAGGGCTGAGCATGGAGCTCCTAAGTCAGTGAGAAGTCAGGAGGAAGGTGGACAGACCAGCCTGACTTACCAAGGAAAGGAGATACTACACTGTGATGCACCTCGGCCCTTATGGGCACTCATGTACATGGGCAATGCAAAAGAAACAACAGCGTTAACAGCACACAGCCAAGACAGCGTCTGAGGTTTTGTGATGAGCCTCATGCAAATAAACATGAGAAGATTAAAAACGTAAAGAAATAGGCTTATGTACAAATTAAAAATTACTTAAGTGATGACAACTTTATTAAATTTTTTTACCTTTATTTATGATAAAGCATATTTATGACTGAAAGAGACGGAGAGCAGGGAACCCTCTACAGGGTCTGGTTCATGCCACGATCCCCTTTCTTCCTCTGGCCTATATGAGCCCGGGTACTCACCAGTGTGCCTACGATGTTTCAAGCCAACCAGACTGGGGATTTGAACTGAGGTTGCCATGTGGGATCTGATTTCTACTGCACAGCCTATTACTGCTGTGTCAGAGCTGGCCCAATGACAACTTTTAATAGATCTTGTATCATTCTTTTATTTTGTACAATAAAGCTTCATTAATAAAAGCCTCAAAACAAGTTTCTTTGTGCAAGCTGAAATTTATCTTCACACTTGGAAAAAAAATTGTTCCTTCTTTCAAAAAATGTTTGCTATAGGGCACATGTGCTCACCAGAGGGAGACAGAAAGAGGGAAAGTAAGAAAGGTTCGTACAGGGGCATTGGCCAAGCCACAGTCCCTTTTTCCCCATTCTCCTCTTGGGATTTTGGGCATGCATGCACATGTGCCCAACATGTTTTTCATCCTGCAGGGTTAGAGACTTGAACTGCACAGTTGGCCATGTGGGATATAGCTGCCTTGACTTCCATACCAACTGCTGGCCCATAAACGATCATTTCTTTTTTTTTTTTTTTGAAAGTTTTTTTTTTTTTTGCTATAGGGCGCGTGTGCTCGCCAGACAGAGACAGACAGAGAGACAGAAAGCAGGAAATCACCCCCCAGGGGGGATGGCCACGCCACAATCCCTTCTCCTCCATTCTCCTCTTGGGATCTTGGGCACGCACGCACACGCATCCAGTGTGAGTTTAAGCCACCAGGTCCGGGACTTGAACCACGGTCGACTACGTGGGAGTCCAGGGACATAGCTATTACGCTAACTGCTGGTCCCAAAAGATCATTTCTTAAGAAAAAATATTACATTAAACAAGATGGCAAGAGAAATTTTCACCATCTCAAGCACTTCAAAAGAGTTAAAAGATGTCCAGTTATAGAGTTTCAAGTAAAATTTTCTAACCTTTTCCAGAAATTGTTTCAAATTTTTTTGGAAATAATTAGAAAGCATGCCTAGTGATGTGCAAATGCTCCAACGTTTAAAGCAAACCAAAAAGAAAAAAGAGACAGAGATATCTAAAATTACAGACCAATATTGCTTGAAGCAGTCCTAAGGAAAATAAGAAGTGTTTGAGTTAATCATGAAAAAATAAATGGTGGTCACTATGAACCAGTAAATATTCATCAAAAAGAAGTAATATAAAATCAAGTGATTTATTTATTTATTTTTTTTTGAGAGGTTTTTTCGCTATAGGGCGCGTGTGCTCGCCAGACAGACAGAGAGAGACATAGAGACAGAAAGCGAGAAATCACCCCCCAAGGGGGGATGGTCACACCGCAATCCCTTCTCCATTCTCCTCTCGGGATCTTGGGCACACACGCACCCGCGCCCAGCGTGAGTTTTAAGCCACCGGGTTCGAGACGCGAACCGCGGTCAACTACGTGGGAGTCCAGAGACATAGCCATTACGCTAACTGCTGGTTCCCAAGTGATTTACTTTTTATAATCAAGTATTTATAGGTCAGGGAGATGTTAAAGCTCATGTGTCTCTTCATCCCTCTGAAGCATTTAACTAAAAAATGTCAAGTAATGGGCCTTGCTAGTGAGATACTAATGCTACATAAACCAATCCTCTCTCAAGTTGAAGTAAAAATTCAAGGAAGAGTAGTTCAAGAAGAGAAGAGTATTCTACCTATCCTTTTTCTCCATATCCACCACCTAGCTTAACGGATCCCACATTGCAGATGCTGGGCAGACATGGGATGAATTAATAACGTTAGCATACTGTTTTGTAGCCCAAACATGGTGTTTTTACAGATTCAGAACTCACACACAATTCTCGTATCTGTCAATCTAGCCAATATACAATCATCCAAGGCATCCCTGCCACAGGGAACATTTCAAGGCAGATATTCTATTACTGGACCATTCTGACAGTTCTATCATCTAGACACAAAATAAATGCTCTCCTTCAACACACTAGTCCTTACAATTACCACATTCCTCCATCTTTCCTTCTCCAGCTAGTATATCCCTTACACTTCCAAGTATTCTTCACAGGCCAAGTCTTCAATTTTTAAAGAATCTTTTTCAATGGTGCATTCGGAGGAGGGACAATTCTTCACTGTGCTGAACTGCTGTACGCTCTACAGGACATCTATCATCCCTTGCCCCTGGGCACTACACGCCAGCAACACCTCAATCACTGTGACTGTTAAAAAACACCCCACACATTTCCAACCACTGCCCTCTCGCTTCAGGTGGACAGTGCTGCCAACACTTTACAACCACTGCTTTATGCTGTTTAACCCTCCAGTTTCCTGAGCAGCACTGTTCAATACAGTAGCCATTAGCCATATGGGACTACTTAAATTTAACCAAATTAAAAATTAAATTCCTCCGTTGCACTAGCCACATTTTAAGAGCTCAAAAGCCACATGTGCTAATGGTTACTGTACTGGACAGTGAAGGAACAGACTGTTTCCATCATCACAGATAATTCTACTGGAGCATGTATATCTAGACTTTAGACAAGGCTTCCATTATTTACCAGACTTCCACTTTTTTAAAGAGATTTTTTGCTATAAGGTGTGTGAGCTTGCCAGAAAGAGCAAGTGAGAAATCACCCCTTAGGGGGGATGGCCATGCTGCAATCCCTTCTCTTTCATCTTCTTCTCAGGATTTTAGGCTCACACGCACATGCGCCAGCATGAATTTCAAGCCACTGTGTCCAGGACTCAAAACAGCAGACAGTCATGTGGGAGTCCAGTGATGTAACCATTACTCCATCAGCTGGTCCCAGGCTCCTACTCTTAATATAGGCTTCACTTGCTGCTCATGTTGTGAACTTAAAGAAGAAAATAAAGTTTATAAAGCTACAGAGCTACTAATTGTTGTTACTTAGTGTGATAATAAAGAAGCACTTATGAGCATTTTAAAATATATCTTAACAAGTATATTTCTTTTTTTTTTTTTTTTTTTAAGAGAGAAATGTTTGCTGTAGGGTGCATTAACTCCTTGGAGACAGAGAGAGAAAGAAAGAGAGAAATCATCCTCAAGGGGGGATGGCCACAGTGCAATTCTTTCTCCTCCATTCTCGTCTAGGGATTTTGGGCACTCATACACATACACCCAACATGAGTTTCAAGTCACCAGGTCTGGGACTCAAATTGCCATCAGCCATGTGGGAGTACAGTGCCTTAACCACCAAGTCCCCTGCTGGTTCCAACAAGTATATTTCAATATAACTTGCTTATTTTTTTAAGCTATTTAGTTCATTTTATTAATTTTCTCAGAATGGGCTTCATGAGTCTGAGAAAGGAGTTCATATCACAAAACAAGTTATAAATCCTTGAGCTAGAGTGAAGAGCCAGATAAATATTTTTGACTTAGTAGAACATAAGATCTGTTTCAATTTTTAAAGTTTGTCACTGCGGTGCAAAAGCAGGCACGATAATAAGTACTTGAGTGTGACTCTGTGGGTGTGTGTAAGTTGATTTCTTCCATGAGAGAGAGAGAGAAATTCAGTACCCCCAAAGGGTCTTTATGCCATGATCTACTCCCAGTTTCAACCAGTACAAATTATGGGTACACCTGTTCAGGGAGGTCCTGAGACATGAACATAGGACCTTTCTCGTGTGGGTCCAATGTGTTACCACCTGGCCCAGTATTTTAATAAAGCTTTATTTATGAAAACAGGTGGCAGACCAGATTTGGCCCACAGTGGTTAACTTCCTAACCCCTAAATGAGACAGATCTTTCTAAAATACAAAAATGGTCATGTCATTTATTGGGTCATCAGAAAAGTCATGACACATTTCTGCATAGAAAAATACATCATGACTTTTCAGATGACCTAAAATTTCTATAAAATTTCAGTAGTACCCAAGACCTGTGTAATGACTTCAACTTGTTCCTCTCGCTTTGTTTCTTTTCATTAAACTCCTAACCAAATATCTTTAGTCAAACAAGAATTATTTTTAGTTCTCTGAATATACTATACCATCCTCCCTAGAGTTTTAAGAATGCTATAGCCTATACCTGAAGCAAATTGACAAATTGACAAATTCTTACCATACTTCAAGCAGCAGCATTAACCATCTGCTATAGTACAGTGGTTAGGAACATAGGCCCGGGGTGAAATCTTGGCTCTGTTGCTTTTTTTTTTTTTTTAGAGGTTTTACCTTAGGGTATATGTGTTCACTTGAGAGAGAGAGAGAGAGAGAGAGAGGGAGAGAGACAGAGGCAGTGAGAAGAAAAGTGAGAAATCATTCCTCAGAAGGGATGGACACGGCACAATCCCTTCTCCTCCACACTCCTCCTAGGATCTTTGGCACACGCACACACGTGACTGGCATGAGTTTCAAGCCACTGAGTCCAGGATACAAACCATGGTCAGCCATGTGGGAGTCCAGTGACGCAACCAGTACACCACCTGCTGGCCCCCCAGCTCTACTTCTTTACAAGCTGTCTGACATGGCATGTAATGGACATGAGCAGCCAACAGTGGCACTTGGACTATCATCAGGAATGACGCACTTGCCACATACTTCACTAGAGTTTGTTATGTTATCAATAAGAATCACTAGTATAGAAAATAATGGTATTAGAGATCAAATTCTTAACTAAAATTACAAAAATTACCAACCTATTGATGTAAATTCTTTTTCTTCCATAGAGCTAGAGCTGTCAGAAGATGAACTCTGATCATCCTTGCTTCCTGAGGAGTGATGTGTTTCATTCTCTTCATCTGTTGAAAGATCAATTATTCTGGATTTTAATGACAATTTTTGAATATAACAAGAAAGATTCAAAACATAAACAACTGAAATTCTGAACACATGGCATATGTATAACATATGCTACTAATCCTACTCCATGTACTTAAAATAGACATGAATTTCTTTCTCCAACCCCTGGCCTTTCTAAAACAACTGGATGGTCTAATAAATGTACAAATACCTTATTTGTACTATCTAAATATCTACTAATATACTTCCCAAAAGATGCAAAGAGAAGAGAAAAGGGAACATTAGGAAAAAAAAAAAAGAACAAAAAAAGCAATTACTAGGAGGGAAGTGTCTTGCCTTGGCTGTGAAGAATAGCAGATTAACCTTATTTAAGCTGGGCCATAGGGAATCAAGGATGAAGAAGCAAAGGCCACTGGAGAGGCTCTGAAGGAACCACCCCTGCCTGACCAACCCAAGTCTTGAGTTCAACAGCATCTCCACAGAAGGAGGAAAGAGCCTGGTACAGTCCCTGAGGCAGAACACTTCTCCACAAATATGCTGTCTGACCAAAAAAGAACTTGACAACACAATGGTAGAGAGCTTGGCAGGAATGTTGAAATTCAACCAGACGCTGTTGCATTTATGGCCTATCCAGAATCAATTACAGCTGAGGGGACTGCCCAGCTGGCAGGTGGACTGTAGAAAACACCAGCACACTAGAGATTTGGTGAATCCCATCTGCCACCTGCTACAGTAACAACGATGATGTACTGGGCACCACTGACAGGGTGCTGGGTACAGTGCAGGGCAGTTTCCATGGGTTCCTCCAACAACCCCGGCAAGTAGCGGTCTTCCACTTCGTGTGAAGAGCCTAAAGCTCTCTGAAAAAACAATGCATGGGTTTCAAAGAATTTTTACACCAAAATCAACTTACACTTTATCCCATTTTCCCACAAACTTTTTAAAGTCCCTTCATATAGCTGCAGTTCACACTTAGCAATTACCATTTATGACAGTCTCCAAAACTGTTCCCCAAGTGGATTAACACCAAAATACTGGTTTTCAAAGTATGGTCCATCAATTCTTGGAGGTCCCTGAAACTTCTTCTCTGAAATAAAACTATTTTAATCGCAATACCAACATATCATTTGTTCTTTTAACTGTGCAGATGTGATAAGATGACCCTCTACAGAACCTCCCACCCTCCGCCCCGCGTCACCTGGTTGGCCCGGGCCGACGTCCCCGCGAGGAGCCGCTCCCAGGTTGCGCCGAGAACTCGCCCACACCCGGCCCCGGCCCCGGCCCCGAGAGCCTCGGCCTCGGTGGGGCCGATCGGCCACCTCTGCGCGGCCTTCTCTAGAGGGTGGCCTTTCCTCCGAGGCGTCTGGGGCCGCCTGCTCTCCCGGCGCTCCGAGGTCAGCAGACTGCTCCACGTCGCTGTCGCTGGAATCCACCCGTCGCTGCCGGAAAGTCCTCCTGGGCCGGTGCGCCATGGCCAAGTTGAGCGCCGAGCGCGTGTCCACTTCCGGGCCTACCCGCCGGGTCTTCGGCCTCGCCGTCGCGCGCACGTCGTTCCGGGAGCCCTGAACGCTCCTCCTTGCGCATGCGCGTTTTCCTGCCTGGAGCGCGTCCGACGCGCAGTTCCTGCGAACCAGCCTTGGGAGACAGGCTGCTTTCCTTCTGGATCTGGCGGTGTGGACCGCCGCCTGGAGATTCCCGCGGCCTCCCGGAGCTGAGTCCCAGCCCACGCCGCGGCATCCTCCCGGTCTACAAATCAGGCGCTGGGCTCGCTATCCGGAATCGGAACCGGAACCATATCCTTTTCGTCTATTCTTTCCGGAGGAAGCTCTTTCCAACCAAAAACTTAATGAAGTAAACTCTACCACAACACTTTCAGAGGGCGTGGTGGTGCCTTTGAAACCTAAACAGTAGAATGTACACTGAAATGATAAAAGCACAGATAGGCCAAAATCAAATGTTTGCTTCCTGGCGGCGAGGCTTCAGTGAAAACTATTTATTTCGTTAAATCCTCTGTATTCGGAAAAAAGGTGGTGTTTAGAGAGATGGAGGGATAAGAAGAATGGCTGAGTCTAACTTGGGCTGTTTCTCTCAAGTACTAGCCATGAACTTGGAGATCTTGGTTCCCTAGGTAAACATTTATTTGGGTGCCTCTATCTCCATCTGGAGCAATAAATGTTTAGTTCACTTAGTGTTTGATGGTATGTACAGGTCCTGTGCTGAACCACGTCCTCTTTAAGAGTTAAAGAATACTTTCCAAGGGTTTTATAAAATGGATTATTTAAGGGATTACATTTCCAGACTAAGCTTCCACATTTATTCTTTGCTGAAAGTGGTATGACTGAGAACCTCTCAATTCATGTTGCCCTTCACCAGTGAAATAGGGGTAGAAAGGACATTCCTCCACACGATAAAAGCCATTTATGACAGACCCATTGTGAACATCATATCGAATAGAGAGAAACTAAAACCTTCCCATTAAAAACTGGAAAAAGACAGGGCTTCTCAATTTCTTCACCCCTTTTCAACATAGTGCTGGAAGTCCAAACCAATGCAATCAGACAAGAGAGGAAAATAAAAGGCATTCATATGGAAAAATAAGCAAAACTGTCCCTTTTTCCAGACAATATGATTACAGGCATAGAAAATTCAAAGAAATCCATGGGAAAAAAAATCCTAGAAGTAACAAATAAATTCAGTAGCCAGATACAAAGCTAATATACAAAAATCTATAGAATTTTTATACACCAACAATGAAGACTGAGACATAATTGAAGAAAGCAATCTCAATTACAGCAGCCACAGAACAAATAAGATACATAGGAATAAACCTAACCAAAGAGGTAAAAGACCTTCTACAAATAAAACTATGTAAAACTGAAAGGAAGAATTTGAATATGATACCAAAAAAATGGAAAGACATCCCTTGTTTCTGGATTGGAAGAATGACTATAATAAAAATGTCAGGTCACACAAATTAATTTACGTATTCAATGCAATTCTGATCCAATCACCCATGACATTCTTTACAGAAAAAGAAAAAAATTACAAAATTTGTCTGGAATCATAAAAGAATTTATATTGCCAAGACAATACTCTGCCAAAAGAATAAAATGGAAAGTATTTCACTATTGAACTTTAAAATATATTACAAAGCAATGATAATTAAAACAGCATGGCACTGGCCCAAATATAGACACATAGACCTATGGAATAGAATAGAGAACCCAGAAACAAGCCCGAATGATGCAGTTAACTGATCTTTGACAAATGGTACATGACAATGCAATGAAAAAAAAAAAGAGTGTCTTTTCAGCAAATGGTGCTGGAAGAACTGGAAATCCACCTGCAGAAAAATGAAACTGGACACCTATTTCTCACCATTAACAAGAATCAACTCAACATGGATCAAATATTTAAATATAGAGCCTCAAACTATAAAACTACTAGTGGAAAATATCGGGGAAATTCTTAAAGACGTTGGAGTAGGCAAAGATTTCTTAAGATCACTAAAGTACAGGCAAAAGACAGTTGGGATTACATCAAGCTAAAAATCTTCCTCACTGCAAAGAAAGCAATTAGAAAGAACCAGCAGTTAGCTTAATAGCTATGTCGCTGGACTCCCACATAGTCAACTGCGGTTCGCGTCTCGGACCTGGTGGCTTAAAACTCACGCTGGGCGCATGTGAGTGCGTGCCCAAGATCCCGAGAGGAGAATGGAGGAGAAGGGATTGTGGCATGGCCATCCCCCCTGGCGGGTGATTTCTTGCTTTCTGTCTCTATATCTCTCTCTGTCTGTCTGGCGAGTGCACGCGCCCTATAGTGAAAAAAACCTCTCCAAAAAAAACCCCCCAAAAAAACAAAAAAGAAAGCAATTAGAGTGAAAAGATGACCCTTGGTATGGGAGAAAATATCTGCCAATTATTCCTCAGGCAAAGCATTCATATCCAGAATACATGGGAAATCTAAGCAGGTAACCCATAAAAGTGAAATAATCCAGTTTAAAAATGGGCAAATGAATAGACAACTCTCCAAGGAAATCCTACAAATGGCCAAGAGGCATATGAAAAAATGTTCAGTCTTTGTCATAAGGAAAATGCAAATTAAGACCACATGAGATACTATTTAATGCCACTTAGAGTGGCTAAGAAAAAAAAAAAAAAAAAAGAATGACAAGTGTTGGCAAGACTGTGATGAAAAGGGAACCCTCTTACCCTGTTGGTGGGAATGTAAATTGGTGCAGCCTCTGTGGAAAACAATATCGAGATTTCTAAAAGAAACTACAGATAGAGCTCCCATATAACCCAGTAATCCCACTCCTTGGTATTTAACTAAAGGATAGGAAAACACTCAATCAGAAAAACATTTCCACATTCATGTGTGTTGCAGCATTATTCACAATTGCTAAAACATGGAACCAACCCAAGTGTCCAAAAATCAATGACTGTATTGAAAAATTGTGACACATAAATACTATGAAATATTACGCAGTTATAAAAAACAAATAGATCCTCTCATTTGATTTAAAATGAATGAATGTAGAAGACTTACTATCAAAGGAAGTGAGCCAGACTTTGAAAGATACACATTGTATATCCCCACTCAATTGGTACTGAGTGTCTGCACTCTATGGCAGAGGTTGAGATCTCTGAAGATGTGATGGCATAGAAGTGGGTGTGGAATCTAGAGACTGTAAGGGAGGCAAGTGGATGGCAGAGAGTGAATGGTGAAGGGCGGGTATGAGTTGTAAAGGGAGGAAACATTTGATAGATGGGAAAATGTAAAGTTTCCTTTGAAAAAAATTATAAAGATAATTCAATTCAGAACAATAACACAAGAATTCTTATAACCTTAAAATTGGAATAAATTATATATATATATATGCATACATAAAAGGAGAGCAATATCAATAAAATAATTTTAAGCATAAACCATATTTCTTTGGGTAAAATGTTGGAAATAGAAATATGAATTGAAGGAGAAAAAGTTGTGTTGCAAAGGGATTGTGCACGTATGGAATGAATAATAGTGAGAATTAAATAGGTTTGGTATTTATGTTACATACATTTAAATAAGTGATATGATTTTTATTTAAAAAGTTCCAATGTAAATAACAAATTGTATCCATTGCTACTGTCAATACTTATGAAATATCTGAGATGAAAACTTAGAGATTACTATCTAAAAATGAGCTGGATAATGATTTTCTGTTTTTATTCTTGAAAGGGCATGCATGAAAAAAGTTAGAATGCACCATCATAGATGATTATTACCAGTTCCAACTTCTTTCTGCTTACCATGAGAAACTCCACTGACTCAAAAAAAGCAACATTTCTTGCCTAGGAAGTCTCACAAAGTTTGTGTTTGTTGTTGTTATTTTAGAGAGATTTTTTCTATAGGGCATGTGTGCCTACCAGAGAGACAGAGAGAAAGTGAGAAATCACTCCCAAGGGAGGAGGGCCATGCCTTTCTCCTTCATCCTCTTCTCAGGATTTTGGGCATGCATGTATATGTGCCTGGCATGAATTTCAAGTCTCTGTGTCTGGGACTTGAGCCATGGTAGCCACTTGGGAGTCCAGTGCATTAATCACTATGCTACCTGCTGGCCCCAAAGATTATATTTTTAAAATAAACTTGAAAATAAAGTAATAGCTAAAATGGACAATGTAATATGTTGGAGGCAGGATGCCCATAAGTCAATTATCCTATAGAAATTTTACCTCATCAGCTTTCTGTAGCCATGTCCACCTCCTAGGACAAGACTGACAGGACAAAAATAGACACCTGAATCACGTTTCTCCAAGACCTTAACTCTGAGAATGAGCCATAACTGTTCTCTGCATGTGGTGGGAATCACAGTTGAAGGATATTAGAGCTGTGAGAGTTCTTTCAGTGATGTGCCATTAGTTGTTCTGAGATCTAGAGAGCTGTCTGCAAAATGGTTAGAATTGTGAGAACCAGCTGCTAAATAGTCATTGCTGTGGTTTGAATATGTGTTTAAGTTTGGTTGTGACAACATTAAGATGGTGTGAATTTAATTCACCTGTGGGTTTAAGAGGTGGTACCTGCGAGAGATGATTAAGATGAGATAAGGTCATTAGGGTAGGCTCCTTATCGTTGAATACTGGTGGGTTTTTAAGGAGAGGGAGTGAGACTGAAGCAGAGACATGTGGACAGAGACACCTTCTCCCATCCTCTCATCATGTGATACTGCGTGCTGCTTCCGGACTTCGTAGAGAGCCTCCACTAATAAGAAGACCGTCACCAGATGCAGCCCCTTGACCTTGGACCTCCCAAACTATGAGTTACCAATTCTTTGGGAATTACCCAATCAGTGATATTCTAATGAAGCAACAGAAAACTGACTAAAACCATCAATATTGAAAATTAAATTATATAAACTAAACAAAGTGCATTGAGAATAAAGGGAAATACTCAAAACTCACCACTATCTAATTTTGCTACCTTTAACTGTTATCTTTGCTGTTGAGGTTATTCAGGACTATCTGTGCAGTAGAAATACTGTACCGCCTTGTTCTACTGCACACCCAATACCAACTCTTCTCAGGATTTGGGGCATGCACACACATGTCCCAAATCCTGAGAAGAGGTGGTACCCTCAGGTTAGCAGCTTGAAGTTTGCCACAGTGTGGTATTTATGCCACAGAAAATGGTAAATCTTACAAATCAGGGCTTTCCCCTAGGAAAACCAGTTAATAAACATTTATTATCATACCATTTCACCAACAAATAGAGAAAGGGAAGCATTTTCCTGATTAATCTGGTCCCAGAACTCTGTTTTCATGGCTTATCTCTATAAACCAGTATTCCCCAGAACATATTTTTAGAAATGCTATATAAATAAACTATTACCAGTTATTTATAATTATGAATGACTTGTAAAGAGAGCGCTCTTTTAAAATCCACACAAAATTAGAGCACTGCTAGGTCAGCAGGTGACATGGAGGTTAATGTGCTGGATCCCACATGGCTGGCTGAGCAGTTTGAGTCTTAGACCCAGTAGCTTGAAAGTTATGCCAGGTGCATGTACAAGCATGTCCAAAATCCTGAGAGGAGACTAAAGGAGAGGGGACTGTGGCATGGCTCTTCCCTTTGGGGAGTGATTCCTCACTTGCCCTCTTTGTCTCTCTCTAGCAAATACATGTGCCTTATAGCAAAATCCCAATAATAATAATAATAATAATAATAATAGCAATAATTTAAATATTAGGGCACTATCTAAAGACTTTCTTTATTGGGATGGTGAAAATGGGGTGAAAAGGATCTTTCTGGAGAATAGAGTTACTTGTGATATCTGTCATGGTTTCCCACCATGGACAAAGTACTGCTTGTAGCTTGCATAAACTTAAGACTGGGAGTGGAGGGGTGAAGTGCCAGAATGTTGCTTCCATCCCAGTTTTTCATTTCATTTCATCATTTCATTTCTATTTATTTATTTATTTATTTATGAGAGGTTTTTGCTATACAGCACGTGTGCTCGCCAGAAAGACAGAGAGAGAGAGACAGAGAGACAGAGAGACAGAAAGCAAGAAATAACCCCCTAGGGTGGATGGCCATGCCACAATCCTTTTTCCTCCGTTCTCCTCTCGGGATCTTGGGTATGCACGCACATGCACCGGCATGAGTTTAAGCCACTAGGTCTGGGACTTGAACTGTGGTCGACTATGTGGGAGTCTGGCAACATAGCCATTATGCCAACTGCTGGTCCCAGCCCAGAGTTTTTCAATATACAATCTTTGCATGAAACATTCTCAAGTCCTGCTATGAATGTTGCTCTACTCTCTCTTA